TGTAAAGGCTGAAAATTCTTCCTGGGCACAGACTTGAGAAGATCAAGGGAAGAATGAGAAGCAGCAAAACCAAATTTGTTTCCTGGATGACTTACTAAACTTGTGTATTAGTAAAATCTTGCCTTTCTTACTGCTTTTCTTCTTGTGTGGTCAGGACAAAAAGTAGCACTTTCAGCTACCACAGCAAGGAATGTCAGGAAGGAATTTAACATTCAGAAAATACAAATGTTTTGTAGGTTTTTTTAAATACATTGAGAGATTTAATAGCTGTAAACTTATTCCCTTGGTAATTACAGGCCAAATTGTTTTCTGATATGAAAGATCCAAGTTACACTTCAGTTTTTGAAACAAGACCAGCTTATCCCAGCTGAAGATACCATCTCTGTTTTACTGCTATAACAGCAAAATTAGAGGAAATGCAATGGACATTCCATAATATGTACAAGCCGTACTTAGCCATTCAGGTGGCTCAATATTTAGCCCAAGATCCACTCTGTTCAGCTCACTAAACATTAATTCTTCTGAAGTCTAATTTTTTGCAGGGCAGCGTTCTCCCCCAGCTCCTCCTCTTGCAGTTTAAAGTTCTGACTTTACGCATTACAGGTTTGGAACAGTGTCTTTGGTGAGGAGGATGGGGGAGAGCAGGGGGGGATTGGATGACTGCCCAATTTCATATGATAAAAGTGAAATTCTCTTCTGTCTGCAGGACAATCCCCAGGGAACAACGTATGAAACCCAAACTTAAATAAAATCATATCCTGTTTGCAAACATCATATTCCCTTTGCTTCTCAGTAATCTGGACCCATAAACCCCAGCACAGCTTGAGAGCCCATTCCTCATCTAAACAAATGCCATAAGCCCCTTTATACTTTTACAACCATGTCAGAAAATAATATTGACTGCCAATAGTGATGTGATGGGAGTTGCCTCCTCTGAGCCATAAAAGAAGCAGTCTGTTATCAATTTCTCTAAATGCATCAAGGGAATTATGGGTCGGTTCAGTTCCAAGTTATAAATGACAATTCAAAAGCCGCAGAAGTGTTTGAAGCTGGGAGCCGATGATGACATTATCATAAAAGCCTGCTCTTCTTTGCTTTTGTGGGGTTTTTTGCCTATCAACTAGACAAAAAAATATGGCTGAGAAATGACTTCAAGATTTCTTCACACAGCAGCAGGTCAAACAGGCAAGAAAACAATCACTATTTTTAGTGACAGACTGAGACAAGGAGATGAAACTTACTCCCATTAAAAGTAGATTTCTGCTTCTCTTATTGTCATTTTCACAGCACAATAGGACAGGAATTGCAATAGATGGATACATTGGTCAAATGATCAGTTATAGCTCTAGTGGCTGTTTACAGATGAAAAATTGTGAAGGATCTGACAATCCACAGAACCAAAATGTAATTTGTGATTATTCTCCCCATTTGGCCACTTCACCTGCAATCTACCCACCTCTCCTGGAAAACTTTTCACATTCCAAACCTCTGACCAGCTGCAAGAAACCATCTCTTTTTATTAAAACTGCTGGCCATAGAGCTGCTAGTCTCTCTCCAACACAAAGAATTTCATCCCCCAGGTATTAGAATTCTTTAACAACAGTTGGTTCTGGAACAAGGCTAAACTTGAAAAATAACAAAAAAAAAAACCCATAAAAAGCATTATTGCAGGAGGAAGATCCCATACTTAAGTGGATTTTATACTCCTGACCCTGGATAGTCCTCTGATAAAATATTAACCATCTTTGAAATAAAACTTGTTATGGGCACATTTAGGATGCTGGTTTAGACAATTTTTTTTCCTTGCTTTGTGAGATCTGTTCAGTTTAGCTGTACAGATGAAATAGATTTCTGCTCTTAGGTAAGAGAGCTAATTACTACTTACATAGTTCCTTGTAAAACTAAAAAATATATTTGATTTCTTCTGAAAGCATAACATATACTAAGCCAATGGTATAATCAATCCCTAGCACTACTTAGAAAATTCATATGGATGAAAAGTGTTTACAAAATGAGTAAACAGTAGTTTTACATACATTTTTTTCATTGCTACAAAAGATTTAGTGGAGTGATGGAAAAGGTTCAGAAAATACTAGTTATGGACACAGATTGCCTCTTGTTTGCTTTTCAAAATTCTTGAAACAAACTTACTTTCATTGTAATTGTAAATAATGTCCAAAGAAGAGGATCCTTGATGTTGACTTCAGTTTTAGAACAAAGAAAATCAGTAACTGAGTAGAATTCAGGGTTACAGAGTTTACTTGGACTTTTGTTTGTGAACAATGTCAGCCCATCAAGTGATCATGTCTTCAGTGTTTAGGAAGTCCTAGCTTCCATTCCTTGATCCAAGAGCAGCTTTCATTCTGTTCAGTGATTCTTTCACATCAAATGTATAAGCTGTTTTGTGGAACAGGGCCTCAGAACTAGGAGCTGGCAGTGTTTATAATTACATATAATAGGTAGATCATAGCCTTAGGTAGATGGGATTGATCCTACTTATGAATAAAGCCTTACTTGTCCAGAGCTCTTTCCAACAGTAGCGCCACTGGAGGTCCCCAATCAGAAACAATATTTGATCTCCTTTGTGGTAGCAATACCCATTAGGAAATGGGGTCTCTGATGCTAAATCCAGCCTGGGAGGGGACAGAACTGAGCCTAGGTTTCCCATCCCCATTGTGAGTAGTCACACCACTAATCTATTTAATAGAGCTGCATAATAACAGCAAGGTACTGTATGGCTAGAAGACAATAGGATCAAAGAGCTCTGAAAACCCTCATTCAAAAGGCAGTGGTAAAGTCTCCTGCAAGAACGGAATTTTTTTTCTTAACACTGTCATATTCTGTAGCAAAGAGGTAATGGTGCAATCAAGGAGGGAAAAATATACAACAAACATAAAAAAGATAAAATTCTTCCATTTCTCCCTAACATCTTTCCATGAACTACACTTCCTGCTTTACACTGATTACTGCTTTATAACTTTCATTTAAGTTGAAAGCTACTAAGTAGAAATATTTCTTTTTCCTTTCCACCATCATTTCTGAAAGTCAGCTTTAAGAATTGCTTTCCACATAGTTTGAAGCAGCTCCCTTTCCCAGAGATCATCTTAACCAATCGACAGCTAAATATCGCTGAAAGAAAGCTCCTAATCTGATTATTTACCTTGAAAAAGGTCATAACCCATTCCTTTAACAGAGCCCCACAGCAAGCCTGACAGTAATAATATATAGAAAGGAAGACCAAATAGAAAATAAATAAATAAAATATCCATTTCTACAACATGCTCTTTAATCCAATTTCCATGAATTTAAATAAGAAATAAATGAAACAGACTGGGGAAAAAAAAAAAAAAGTGTAGATAAATTTAAATGCTTAAGAAAATGAAGTTGTACTGAGAAATTCTGAATTGTGTTAGCTTTAGAATGGAACACATTGTCATTTGTAGAAGGATTTCAAAGCACATCTCTGGTCACGATTTTTTAATATCACAATAATCAGTTTCATAGAAAAATCTTATCCTCTAATTTTCAAAGAATGCTATATTCATTTTACTATCTAAGGCCCTCAAAGATTTTTCCAAGACTTTTTACACGATCTCCTTTTTTCCCAGAAGCCTGAACATCTTTCAACTTTATTAATTAATTTTTATTAATAACCTTTCTCAACTTCATTAATTTTTTGTTCAATTTTCTCAGCATCAGCAGTGTGAAAAATCCCCTTTTTTACACACCAGTGTGTAGATATATGTGTGCATGTGTGCTCACAGTAGTTTACAGAGGAGCACATGCACACACATCTACATGTCAATGTGTAATGTTAGCTGAACCACATGCAAAAATGATGCCCAAATTTCCAAACTGACACGTTACTAGCCACCAACTTCCAAATTTTAGGCAGGATCTCCAGCAGGCTAAGCCCAGGGTGGAGGAGCTGGAACGATTCCTGATCCTTTTTTTCTTTACTCATAGTTCAGAAATCCACAAAAATTACGAAATACTGACAGTGAAAATGCATTTTTTCTTTGTGTGTGTGTGTGTGTGTGTGTGTTAGAACTTTATAAAACGAGTATTTCTTCTGTCATATAAGCATACTAGTATGGTATGGAATTTATCCTTTGTGAAGAATAAAAGTAAATAAAACTGTGTAAGGTTGGTTGACACCTTTATGTCTGCTCAGACTTTTCAGAGAAGATACTGGCAGAATTCACTGAGAAACAGTAAAAGGGAAGTAAGATGTACCTCACCATCCAGCCCACTGATACCTAGATTATTAGCATTTCACTTTGACATTAACAGTAAATAATGGATCCAGTTGGACCAAAAGGGTGAAATACTTTTGTGTGAAAAGCTCATTTATGTGAAAAATAATTTCTCCTTGGCACTATCTTCATTACAATTTAATAGGAGCATGATAGTGGTATCAATAGAAATTCTACATGGTTTTCAATAATTTTGCTTTACTCTTTTACCTAGAGTTGCAACATATTTCTTTCTATAGATTTTTGTCTACTGTCTTAATACGAGCTTGTCTTTCAGGATGAATCTGTTTCAAAAAGGCATAAAAATGCTCCCATAATATATTACTTTAATACCCAAGTTGTTGGCTAGCAGCTATGAGCCCTTCTCATGCTAAATGCTAGCTTTGGCAACTTTTTTGTCTTTCAGAGAAGTGTGGAGCCATATTTATTTTTCAACAGTACATGGGACAGCTTCTCCAAAGCTCATTGTGCTGTTGTGCCCGTTACTTTCCTCATGTAAAAAACCCCAAGTGGGATAACTAGAAATGGACACTTTTACACAAAATTTGTTCTTAACTGTTCCATATGCCTCTTGTAATGCACTGTCTTCCATGTCTTTGAAAACACAGTACAATAATGGCTCATATTTCATCTCTACATTTTTCATCAGCTTTTGAAGACTTTGATCTGATAGTGCTGAAGAGTTAACCAGAGAACATGTATGCTGTGTGCTGTACCTTTTTGAAAAAACAAACATCTACTTACCCCAAGTCCCCCACAAGGCAACAAGGAAAAGAGTTTTTGAGACACGTTTCCTATATATTAAAGAAAAAAAGAAGCAATAAGCATCGTTTATAAAAAAACCATTTAAATACTAGAACATTATTTCCTTACTTTTTGCAGTAATTCAGATTTCAGTATTTTTATCACTATGAAAATGCCAGATAATAGTACAAAAAATAATCATAATATTTAGAAGTAAAATCAGCAATGGGACATTTAAGGTACTTTTATGCAACAGTGACAGATCATAAGACTGGTAAGTGGTAGTTTCAAAGGAATATAATGATCAAAATTCCACAGAAAATCACTCTGAACTAGGGTGACTAATCATCCTGATATCTGTAGCTGATAAGCAGCTGTACTGAGCTACTCATCTCAGCTTCTTCTCCAGCTAGAGGAGTGAGGCATCCATCCAGCCTACATGACTGATGGGATGAATGATGCTTGAGAAGTACCTGTTTCTTTTCACTGACAACAGAGGGAATCACATTAAGTTTACATAAAACTGATAACTAATTTCTTAGCTTTTTTGCTTCAAAAGAGTTTCTCCTTTGAAAATTGCAGCCTTAGTTTTTCTATCTATGTAAAAGTGCTGTTTCCTTCATTTACATTGCATCAGATTGTATTAATATTTTTTAAACTTAACTTGAAATACTATTTTTTCAGTATTATTCAAGAAATACATGATACCAAAGGGAACAAAAACTTAATAAGCTTTAGGATTTATTTTCTAGATAATCTGCTCTAAACATTGGCTAATGATAGTGTTTACCTTAATATTTATACTCACATTTTCTGAATTCTTTTTCTCTCTCTCTCTCTTTTATTTTTATTTTTTATTTTTTATTAATGTACTACTGAACTCACTGTTTATCTTGATAATGACAATATGAAAACCGGGTAAGGATCTCAGGATTTGATGCAGTTCCTATCCCAGTGTGTAACCTGATCCTAAGGCAGCTGTGGAAGAGAACATAAGCTTTTCCCCTGCCATATCACAGAAGTGGCTTTGTAACTTTGCCATCTGGAGGAAACATTAGATAGTGAATCACTTGAGTTACCTAGAGGAGTCACCCATTTGTTATGGAAGGGGCGAATGCTGCAGTTACTCATGTTTAGCAGGTGCCAATGAAATGCACAAAGACAATTATAAGCCATCATCTTTGAAGTACGAGAGACCAGACTGCAAGGTCTGGGATGAGGAAAGTGCTTTACACTTTGAGTAAAATCCAAGATGCATTTTCATCCAAGTAGAGGCCTTTGATCAGTTTGAACAGTGTGTGAGAGAAGCCAAACAAAATCTCCTGTGGAGCTACCAGGGGAAATGCAGGTGCAGCAGCTATGCAGAGCATTCTCATACTGTGAGTCCTAATGGCCCCAGACATGCAAGGAAATGTTGGCTGCAGGAGATTGTCAGAGTAGAGGTGCAAGTTGGAGTTTCCAGATTTCTTGCTAAGCAGATCTGGGGACCAATTTTTCACATTTTATTATGGGGAAGATGAAAAAGTCTCTAGCAGATAACTAAAAAAATCAGTGCTGTTAAAATGCCAGGAGACATTAATGGAAACATAAGATGTAATTTGGGATAAAAGAAGGCATTTTTAGATTATTGAATGACTAGAAAATTTTTCTTAAATTCCATGGCAGAGTTGGGACATAAGAGACAACAGATGAATTCTCATTTATCTCCCTGCAGCCAGGCACATTGTGCATGGTAAACACTATTAAAAACAATAAACAAAAAGTAAAAACAGAAAAGCAGATGGTGAGAAGAAAACTAAAATCAATCAGAAGGTAGTACTAAAACTGGGGAAAACAAACACGTAAGCCTTTTCAGTGTATCAAGAGGCTCGCTGGAATACTCGCTTCTTATTGAATGATGGTTTAAAAAATAGTAGTTGCCAAACTTTGAAGAACAAGAAAAACATTGAGATTTAATGGAAAGAACAGTGGGGAAATGCTGGACTAACAGAAAGTGATACCATTGCTTAGCAAGCCTCACAAAAATAGAAAGCTCACAACAGTCTGCCATAAATTAAAATCAACCGCAAAAAGCTTCTCTGAAAATGAATTGGGGTGCGAATTTCCCATGATGTTTAAAGTTGATGTCCCAGAAGATATTGGGGTACTTCAAGTAAGGTGGAAGACAATGTCTAAATCATCAAATAGTTTTGACTTTGCACTAGGACAGGGTTTGTAGTCACCAACTCTTTAGATTCAGTACAACTGTTTACTGATAGAACTAGAAATGTTCCAAGACTTGTATTCTAGAATATTAATGCACAAAGGCAGCAGAAGCTAGTTTGTCAAATTAGGTGCTGAGGCACCCATCACTGACGGAGGTCAGGCCCCTACAGAAGTCAAGGAAGTTGCTTAGGAGATTGATGACTGGGGACTGAGAGTCTGAGCAACTGAGAAAAACTGATGAGTAAAATCTCACTTTCAAAAGAAAGAAAACCAAACCCACATTAAAAGTGTGTTCACTTTTTAACTTGATTATTTGCAATTTTATCCCAAAGACATCTTTGCTTCCAAAGAACGAAGCCATTTCAGCTAAGTTTTTGTTTCTTCATTAATTTGAAATTGGAATTGCATGGATGCATTCTGATGCATCTTTTAGTTGCACTCTAATTACCGACTCACTGTCATGGATGTGTTGACAGTGTATTTCTCATTTTACAGACTTCTAATACAGGCAACTTGACTTAATAACAGTTGGAATGAGAAAAAGGAAACAAAATTGTGAGAAATGTTTTCTGTTCCGCCCTTGAATTTATATGAAGAGATTTGTAAGGTTGTATTCTGATATTTGAAACCATAATGTGATGTAACACGTAGTCTGCATATTAGTTTCCTTTGTGTCAAGACAATGTTAATGCAATATAACATGTTGCTTAACACACACTAAAATACATCAGTCCAAAGCTTAACTAGAGTCGTGTAGAAGTGGTCATTTGCAATAGCTGCATTTGTAGACCCTGATCTACATCAGGAAGATAAAGCCAAGAGTTCAAGGAAGTTCATACTTGTAAACCAGTAGGAGTAGATGAGTATGTGCATAAGTCTCATTGATTTCAGTAGTTTCCAGTCATGTTGTTTAGCAGTTTTCCAGAACAGGCTTTTTCCTTGAACAGGGAAGCTGAAATAGGCATTTAGTGGCAAGTAGCACATTACTAGCCCCTAGACATACTTAAATTTCATTCCTTCGGGTGTTTCTTTTCTGTTTGAAAGGTACAGAAGCTGCTTGTGAGAGGAAAAAAAAATAAAAAAGAGCTTCTGACAAAGACACAAAGCAGAGGCACTCTTCTGACGAGGAGCAGGAAGCACAAACATTTTCTGGAGCATAAGTGGTGAACAAATGGTGTCTTTGTCTTTTTGGATGGATAGAGGGGTAAAGAAAGGAAGGTTAGGTCTTACTTTTCATTAGGATGCAAAGCCATCATTTGATGGATACTGAAATGATGATACAATGGAATACACTTTCTGAGACCATGTTGTTATTGGTGACATTTTTTATAAGAAACATTTATTTAGATATTTTTCCCTTGGTACATGTATATTGAATTTATGTAATGTACAAAAATGTTAATTTTAATGTCAGGATTGGTTAGGTTCAACCTCACTGAAATGGGGACAGTAAAATCAGGAACAGTCACACTGCATTTTGGAAAAATCTGAGACAATTAGGTTCCTTTATCCAAGAGTCTGGGAGGCCAAATGATCAGAGCTTTCAGCCAGAAAACAAGCACATGCAAAAGCATGTGGGAAGGGTGTTTTATTGACTTTTGTCTTGGTAAAAGGCCATGTGAGATGCAACAAGAAAATATCCTAGAAACAGAGAGAGAAAAGGGCAGTGAGCCAAGGATACATTCAGAATATATTCTGAGAGTGTGATCTTGATATTAACTTAGAGAGTAAATGTTTTGGACTAAGTGTCTAATAAAAAAGGCAAAGTATGTCCAGTAAAGAATGGTGGGCCAAGAAATGGTTTTCTGAGATCGGATAAACAAAGCTTTCTGCATTCTCTGTACATCAGCAGAAACACAGTTAGATCCTTCTTAACCTTGTAACTACAACTGCACACAGCATGCCAGAGGCTGCTCAGCCACTGAGATCCAAAATTGGAACAATATTTTATATCAATGTATGTTATATTAAATTATGTAAAAAATAAAATTAATTACACCAAGCAAAATTTAAATTAAATGCTTGACTGTATTAAAAATGAGCAATTTAACAATATTGAGGAAATGAAAAATAATTCCAAATTAATTTTGCAGGAATTTAGAACTTTTTCTTGGAAACACGTAGGATTTCCTACTTAGAAATTCAAGCACCTAAGAATCTGTTATACTGTAAATATTTTCAGTTTTGATGTTGCCTTTTCTTTGAAAATGTATAAACCTATCTAACATTATGATCTTAGGACTTAGGACTGAAGCAACAGTCTGCTGTACAGAAGAAACAGCATAAGTTTCCAAAGCAAAATAATTGCTATGTATTACTAGAATTGTGGCAGCAATTTCTTCTGATGGCTAATGTTATTTTTGTTTGGGTTGGATTTGATTACATTTAGAAAAAGCTCCACATCTTAGAAGAAGCGTTATGAAAATAACTGAGAATTAGAGTGTTGCATCCAGTGTGTTGGGACATAAAGGGCAGGATTTCACTCACAGATTATTTCCAAAATGCACTAATTTTTGTGTGTTTCTGACAAGTAGACATGCTTCATACTACACTAATGGCAGAGTTCCTTTTAACTCTACTTTTGTGTTATAAAAGACATACACTGAGCATCGGTTGTCCATGAAGATATTTTACATGAAAAACCTGTCAGTTTTCTGCTATTCTGTACAACCATTTACAATGTATGTGCATTTAATATATTAATGTATTTCCCCCCATGTTGTTCAGAAAGATATCATATCCTACATAATGAGAAGGCATTAAAATAAAGTTCACTTATTAGCAAACCTCAGGCATAGTATCTGCAGACAGATTGGCTGAAATAGTTGAAATAAAGCAAATGAGAACAGCAAACAAACAGTTCTGACAAGCAAGTGTATCTTAAATTCCTGATTTTGAATCAAAGAATACAAGGAGGTAGAAAACCAATGGTGTTCAAAATTGCCACTGACCTCCAGTGGAGAACAAGTTACAGTAAAAGGTTAACACTGATGATTTTTGAAGCAAATGAGGAGAAACTCGTATCGCTGCTTTCCAGCCGGTGTATTTTGCTAATCTCTATTTGGCTTCCATTGTAACATTCTCCTTGCACATAGCAATGCGTTTGGAAAAAGTGAATTTTTGTCACACTGCTTGCCAAGTGTTTTAAACTGACACCAGCTATGACTAATGACAGTGCTGGAATGTGCTGTTCTCAGTAGAATAGAGGCCTGTACAGACCTAGGAGTTTCCTGGGGTCCAGCTTCTGTCTGTTCAGTGGGCTGGTGCCATACAGCAGTGAATGATGTTCAGAGTGAACCAGCTGTATTTCCTCCAGACTGGCTTTTCGACCTCGAATTCGCTGAAAGAAAACAGCAGAGGCCTACAATATTCCACTGACAATATTTAGGGAGAAAAAAAAAAAAAAAAAGAAAGTAAAGGTCCAAAATAACATTTAGTATGATTAATAATGGGTTGAAATTGCGTCATGCAGGAATGTGACACTGATTTGTTTATTAAATTAACTATTTAAAAACAAATGCATGTGTGCTTTATCACAAAATGCTTCACTTAAGCCTTAGGAGAGTTATCTTAATACATAAGGGTTTCACATAAAAGAAAAATAAAAGATTTTGCCTCTTTTCTACATGATATATTAAGAGATGCAAACCAAAAGATGAAATATTTCTCAAGTAAGAAATCTGTCTAGAAAAAAAACTGATTTAGAGAGCAAAAACTTATTCACACCTGTAAGCTGCAGATGTGTTTGGAATGAGGATTAATGTTTTTTGCATCATTACTAGTACTTGTGATTTATGCTGCTAGGAGGAACATGATCACAGTGAGGACAGACAGGGAAAAAAAGAAAACTGAACTTTGAATGCTTTAGCAACATATTTGTGTATGTTTTTAAATTTTTAATGTGTGATCAATATCAACATACACGCGTGTTATCATGTGTGATTAATATTTTTGCTGTTACACACTTTTTGTCCCTTTAACTGGGTCTCCTCCAGCTTGTACTTGCCCCAAAACAAGATGTAAAAAATCTGGGACATCTTTCTACAACAACACCTTTCCTTAGGAAGGAAGAAAGACAGGAAAGGAAAGCTAAAGCTTACAGTTTCTTATTTGGCATTTCTGTTCCTTGTGTGCATTTGGAGTTACAGCTTATGATAAAAATACTTATTTCTCTGCTTGTGCTAGTGTTGCACAGCCTTTTCAGATACAGCAACATGAATCAGATTTTCTTCAGGTCTGAGCATAATAAACAGCACTGTCAACAAAGTTCTGGACCCAAGATCGCCTTTCCTGTTAATATTGGATAAAGTGAAGAGAAAACAGCTTGATTTTAAGGTCTTGAACCCTATTTGCAGACCTGGTCCTTATGAACACCGAGGGCCAACTTTCTCACAGCTTAGACTGGATCTGTCTGACTCAAGGTCTACAGATACACAGGTACAGCAGTTACCTAATAGACCACCCTATTTTCAATTAGACTGCTTTACCTGTTACAGAAATGCATTTAATTCTAGTTTTCTTGGAGTTTAAATTCTTACTGTATCCAACACTTTGTCATACACATTGGAAAGCATCAACCTTTGCAGTAGGAGAGGACAGCATTATTATGAATATTAAAGAGAATGTGCGCTACAGAAGAGATGCCTGGGGGATGAGGGGTCAGAAGAACCATGCACAATTTATATTGAGTTAAGCAGAGGGAATTTTTATTGACTAATCAGGAAAAATATCCTAAGAGTTAGAGGTAGATGACTGTGGAACAAGCTCCCCTTCAGGGAAATGGTGGAAACCCTGTTTCTTGCAGTGCTTAAAACTTGACTAGACACAGCAGTGGAAAGAACATTTTAGGGAATGATCCAAGAACTAAATGACTTAATAAACCCTTTTTCATCTCTAATTTCTTCAAGCCTCTCCCAGTCTCACATGAGAATTTGTAGCAGTGCACTCACATCCTTTTAACACACAGTTGCACAATCAAAATCAGCACATTATGTTACTTCATGGAGTCAGTAAACTCTGTAATGGTTCTTCTGGGTCAGATAAAATATTTTTCTTCACAAGTGAGGTGACTAGTAACATTTATTCCTTCATACATTCTCATTAAGGTCCATGTTTCTAACAAGCTGTTTTAAAATGTATATACCCAATTCTCCCCGGCAAAACTGGGAAAGGAGTCTGGCTTTTAAGACAGATAAAATAAATGTATAAGAAAAGTAAAAAGGAATTTTATGAAGGTCATGCCAAAGAACCTTGAGCAAAACACTCACTCTCTGGTCACATATTTTCTATAAGGTATACAAAAACTCTCAGACATGTTTAAGACAGTTAATTGTCTGGCTTTTTTTTTTTTAAGTGTTGCTAAATGGAATGCCATATCCCTTTAACTATAAAAAACCACACAGCTAGCCATTATTTTTACACTGAGGTGCTCTGTGATATCTGGTCTGGAAGTGGCCTCCCCAAGTGACTTGCCAACAACACACCTCCTACCCAGTTTCACCAGTCAAATTGTCTAGTGTAGAAACAGGTTATGCAGAAAGCAGTTTGGTGCAGAAATCAAGTGGCACTGAAAAGGACACTCCAGGCAGCTCCCACAGTGAGGTTCTTGGAGTGCAGCCATCAGCTGAGCTGGCAGAGCCCAGAGCTGCTCTTTCAGTATGGCTTCTCCAGCTCTAACATCAGCAAGGACTTTTACACTGTGGATGCCAGGAGAAAAGGGAAGGGCAAACTGTGTACTTGTCTGTGCTGTTACTGCATTCCCATCTGCTTATTTCGTGTTCCTTACATCCCATCCTTGCAGTATCTCTGCATGTCAATCCCAACTATCTAAGGCTCTGCACAAAGGAAAAAATGTGCATTAAAAATTACATGTATTAATTTCTGAGAATAGTTCTCACATGTAACTTCAGTTATGCAAAGTGATCTATTTTGGGTCTCACTAGCATGAGTTATCAGACAACAGAACATATGCATTTGTATAACTTTACGCATACACTTTTAGCCACATCTTTGGTAGTATCAAAAACATGAAATGTAGCAGAAAATTGGAATAAAGCCAACAAAAAAGGAGAAATAGCATAGAAGAACAAATGAAAAGTATTTGTTTCTTTCTGGAGAATTTGAACAATACATCTACCCTTCTACTACATCCTTAGTAGAAGGCGAGTCATCCTTTTCTAATGTGTATGACAATTTGTGTGTTGGGTTTGTCCTCTGACATATGCAGTTCCCTTATTAACAGAAACATTTATAAATCTCAGGAGAGCAAAATACTTGCACCTGAGTGTTGTCCCCACAATTTCACCCTTCACAGAATTTATGGTCAAAGTCTGGTCTCCTGTTAAAAGAGACCATTAAATTTTCACACAGACAACCTCTATTAACCTGAAGATTTTGGCTGGACTATCAGCAGAATAAACTCCTTTTTGTATGAAATTCCCTTAGGCTATCAAGTTTGTAAATAAGGTCTTCAGATTTTTCCTGCCTTCCTGAGATTTCTCATAGTTGTTAAATTTTCTCCTGTTTTCAGAACTACTCAGATAACACATCTTGTGCCAGTCAGTATAATCACATTGCTTGCTCTCTCTCCACCATGTGGGAATTTCAAGCACACCTCTGAAACACATGCACCCACATAGAGATGCATTTATTCTCCTCACATGTTTTGGTCATCTAGTGCCTTACACTCTTAAGATTTTGAATGACTTAGGCAGATTTAGAATATGTTAAACACTCTAAATAGTTTTGCTCTTTAAAAAATATTAACTTTTCCTGTATTATTTTCTCTTTAGTGGCAAATTGAGGTTCAAAGAGTAGAATTTTTCAAATATTCCAGTTTATGTGATCTGGCAGACTCAACTTGAAATTCTTTCCTTCTCTCCCCTTCAGTTCATGAGATGTGGACAGCAGCAGGTGTGAAATGCCTCCCTAATCCAGAAAACTACCAAAATTCAGAACAAATTCTAGGTTGAAAAGAAAAGTGTTGCTGGACCACAGTCCCTACAGGAAGTAAATGTGGGGGCATGAAGCAGGACTATGGCCACATTTTCTTTTCTCTTCTGAAAGTGTGCGGATCACTGTAGCCTAATGCCAGTCATGTGTGCATAAATTACAACCCCAAAGGAGTTATTTGAATACTTTCTCTCACTAGAACAAGTGGAAAGTAGACACCCCTACCAAAACATAATTCAGTCCTTTTATTGTCCCAAAGGCAGGGCAGCTAGGCATTGCTCTTTACCAAGGGAAAATTGCAAAAAGAAAAAAAGATAATGGAGGTTTGTATGACCATCTTTGCATCTTTTAGCTGCCCCTGTCTGCATTCGATAACTGTCTGTTTTACATCTTTCAGCCTGTAACAAACACCAAACAGGCATTTCAGCAAACATACATAAAACATTGAAACTAATGCAAAAATATTGTGTGTTAATTTTGGTTTTTCAATACATATATACCAGGATTATAAAAAAGTTTATTATGGATGTGTGTGTGGAGGTGGATGTGTGTGAATTATACACAGTTATACTCCACTCTCCTGCCTTGAACTCAGTCAGGGACTGGTCTCTCAAATCTGCCTCTCCATGACTGGCAATGGTCTAAATGTATTTTTCCCTTGTCTTGAGGAATCCAATGGAGGAATTAATCTATCTGTTTGGAAGTAGGATATGATTTAAAAAATAATCTGGAGGCTAAAACTAATTTTTTGGTTTAGCAAAAGTCTTCCAAACTGTTGTTTGAATAATTCTAGAGCACAAATATCTATGGCTAGAAAGACAAAATACAGTCTGGAAAAGCAAGTCCTCCTGGCTGTGTCTGCAGCAGCAAACTTAGCAGTGCCAGGAAACATTCCCAAGCAGAGTAACACAATCATCTGTACTATTAAATTGCTAAAGTGGTCCTTCATTCTGTTTTGGCTGAGCAGCAACTAGGACTCTCCCAAACAACTCTCAGACATGGTTTGGTCACTGGCACGGGCCAGGAAGCATTCCTGAAGCCCATGAAAATGGGCCTTTCCATGCCAGTTGACTGCAGGGGTAGAGAACAGTCTCAGACACATTTTATTTTGTAGAAAATACACAACTTGCGTACCCCATTCAAACCTTGTTATGATTTTACCAATTTGTATTTTAAAAATAAATGGGGTGAGCATGACTAAGATATACAGGTACCCCATAAAGGCAATACTTTGAGCTTAGATTGGTCTGTCTAGATTAATCTATGAACTGCAGCAAGCATAGTGTTAGCCTTATTCTATACGACTTTCATCATCCTACGCCCAGTTAGAGATACCAATTCTCTGTACACTCAGCCACTCATCTCTCTGTTGCCAAAGACCTGAGCAGTGTGAGAGGAATTAATCCACACTAAAGGATTTGGGAACCACAGAAAGCTTCCTGCTATAGATAACAAGGGTCATAGAGATACAAGTTGTTCATTTTCATAAGGGTTTCTTGTTGGATTATGAAAATGGGGGGGGATGGGGGGGGCTAAATAAGCTTGTGCCCAAGGGATTACATTACAGTGCAGCGTATAATACCTGAGCTACCTCTGACTGAAGTAGTTTTGATCCTAAAACTCCTTATCAGACAAAGAGTGGGACTGCAGCCCTCCTGTGGGACTATTGTTTTAGTTAGAGAGGAAAAAAATTCACTGTTAACTGCAGAGGGTTTCTGAAGTGGCTGCTGCAGGTGGCTGTTGCTAACCTGCCCCATAGCCTTGGTGTATGAGGCAATGCATGTGGCAAAACCTGACCAGTGATCTCCTCACATCTTCTGATAAAAACTGTGGGAAATTATGTTGAGAAATTATATTAAGAAATGGTAGTGTACATGAAAGGGCATTCAGAATTCAGCAGAAGTGACAGTGCAGTCGCCCATGATCCTTTCACTATGCACTCGTGGTGTGGTATATTCCAGAAAGCAGCTTGATGGTGGCTTTTTATATCTTGGATAATGCAATAACCACTCCTTTAGTCACACAAGTTATCTATTCAGCTGAATAACTTTCTAAAGAAACAGAGCACCAATTAAGCATATCACTGTAACCTTTCTTATTTTGGAAAGTGAGCAGTTTTAAGCACTTGTTTGATGTCAGGCACATGCTAGATAATTTAGTGAAACAAAGGACAGATTGCATCACCAAATATAATTCTGTCTCTAGCTACATAAGAGGATCTAGATAAATACCATATCTATGCACCAGCCTCACACTGAAACTCCTTAGTTTTATCATCAGGCTTTACATTTTGACAGCTCATTTCACATTCCAGCCTCATTTCAAAGCAAACAGTTGGGGTCAAAATTAGCTGAATGCAGTTCAACATGAAGTGACTTTTTTCCTCTCTGCCCCCCTCACTCAATTATGCAAGACTTAATAGGCTGTGTTTCAGGTTTTGAAATTTTAGAATTGCAAGAGGAAACTTCAAATCTTCCTGGAAATCTTGCACTGCATGCATCTCAAACTAACATATACCACTTTTTCATTTTACACCTTTTACAGATACCTTTTACAGAGGCACACAGTTTATTGTTCAGCAACAGTTTGTTAGTGAAGAAAGCAGTACATAGTAGCACACTGCATTTTACTTATTTTCCCTCTTTTGTCTTTTCTTTATAATACAGAGTCCTGTGTAAAGAAGGTAACAGCTTTATTTTAGTTAAGCACTCAGCTGCATCTTTAACTTAATCTTGAAGTACGTGATTCCCCAATGAAACCACTCATGATAGGTGGCCTTAAGGGCCTTGCTGAAAAAAATTCTTCTTGAACACCAAAAAAAAATTATCCAAGCTAAAAAAAGAGAATTAGCCTGTTAGAGTGCTGCCATCTAGTTAGATGAGTGTATACAACAAATCCATTTGCAGTGCTTGCAATATCTCACTGACCAGGACATGAGCTACCTACAGAAAGTCTTTGGGGACAGCCACTAATAGCTATTCAAAGGGATCTATTGGACCAGTTCCTTTGGGTTTGTAAAAGCATAAGGATATAAAGAAAAGTAATTTAACAGAACATGAGACATGGAAATTTTGGGATCCTGCAAAACATTAGCAAATTTTTGCTGAACTTTGTTAACTTGTGCTGCAGTGCAGTAAACACCTGTGATTGCCACAGGCTTCTGCAGAAGTTGACAGTGCTGTACAACTCACAGGAAGCAGGGAATGGTAAGAAAAGGCTACTTTTAACTAACTCAAATCATATATGAACCTCACAGACCATATTTGATTCAAGCATGGTTTAATATGCGATTTTTTTGAAGAAAATCATAGCAGAAAAAAATTACAAATTTTCTATTGCTTAGAAGATTATTCTTGAATGTCTTGAGGCTTCACATGGGACTTCTTGTATACCAGGTAAAGGAGCACGCTATGAGAACAGACTTTAAAGTCTGAAAAAAGACAAGATGCAATATGCATATGGAATGATACAAACTATATTTTAAGAAGTGTTCTATGCTACAGAAGTAAAATCCTTAGATGCTTGAAAAAGTTAAGAACCATGTTATTGGGAGGACTGCACTTACTGCTTGACTACAGCTTGTCTACATTCCTTTATAAAGACAAGGAATAATAATTTAGTATTTTATATAAAATAAAATATAAATGGGTTTTATATATTCTTATGCATGTGGATGAATGACACTGTGTAAATTCTTTATTTTCTGATTGGGAAGCGTGCTTTCCTATAACGCATTATTTTAATATTATCAGTTAAGACCAAATAATTCCTAAAACAAAATTACTCTCTTATTACAGAAGTAAGACAGGTTTAGGAGTTAATAAACTTGCTGTTTACTTTAACAAGACAAGTATTTGGTCTTAATTTTAAATTACCTCGCACTTGTTTAGCAACCCAGTTTCTTGCAGCCTTGACCAGATGCTTTGGATTCTTCCGGCGTGTTCGGGGTGATTCGCATAGTTCCCACACATGCACTGGTGCTTCAGCATCAGACTGTCATACACAACACCTTCAGCACAAAGACAGCACAATAAGAAACAAATGAAAAAAAATGCAAGTTGTACTGTTCCCTGTCATGCGTACTTTAGCAAAACTGGATTTTATTTGACAATTACAGGAAGATTAAAATCCCGCTGAATCATTTAGGTTGGAAAAGACCTCTGAGATCATTGAGTCCAATCTTTGACCTATCTCCACCTTGTCAACTAGACCAGACCACTGAGTGCCATAAACAGTTGTTTCTTGAAGAATTCCTGGGATGGTGACTCCACCACCTCCCTAGGAAGCCCATTCTGATGCCTGACAGCTCTTCCTTTGAAGAAATCCTTCCTGACATCCAACCTGAACCTCCCCTGACACAGCCTGGGGCCATGTCCTCATGTCCTGTTGCTGTTTGTCTGGGAGAAGGGACCAATCCGCACCTGGCTACAGCCTCATTTCAGGCAGTGTAGAGAGCAATAAGGTCCCCTCTGAGCCTCCTTTTCTCCAGGTTAAACAGCCCCAGCTCACTCCTTACAGGAGTCACCTAGCTTTCACCAGCTTTGTTGCCCTTCTCTGGACCTAAATTTCTTTTTCCTTTGTGAGACTCTGAATTTTGGTTTATGAGGTGAATCTTGTAATTCTCAAGAAATTATATTCATAAATACAATTAACTGGAAAGAAGGGGAATTAGGTGATGTCTTTTGAAAGATTTTATGGCTAGAAAAAAGTCTTATTACTAAACTACTTTTTTCTCTTTCTCTAATGGGTGAAGTTAGAGCTGTTAACCTATATACAACAAGAAAATATTATGTACAGGAGTGTAAAGAATATAATTTAGAGAAATCTTTTAAAATATATTATGAAATGGCAATGGAACTCTGCAGTTTTACTGCTTAACTAACACTATATTAAGTCCAGATCTCAAAGCATATCAAATGAATGTTTCAGAGAGTCAGAACAGTGGCAGTAAGAGTCCTTTTTCATTAAAAGGAAAAGTTCCACCCACTACTCAATTAGGATCAAATCCTGTTGTTTGACTGCAAGTGCAAGGTACCTTTTGAATTTTCTATGGTCATTTGTGCAAGGACAGAACAGCTTTATACAAAGAAGCTATCAATATCACATTATTCTGTAGCTGTGCATTGGTAGCAAAAGAGAAATTTTAGTGAGTAGGCTCAAGCTAAATTCAATTTTCAAGGCTTTCAAACCAAGCCTGAAACACTGAAAAATTATTTTCTGTATTTACTTGTTCTTTGCATTTCTCCTAGACATGTCTGGAACAAAAATTGTTTTCCTTACCCCTATGTGGACCATTTTCATTTGGGAAACATTTGGCTTTTTTCTTTCCCTTGCAGTTGAAAGGGACTCAAATTAACAATTTCTCCAAGCTGCAATACTTGGCATTCAAAACATCTTTCTTATGTGCCACCACTAGTGGGGATGCCAGCACAGTTCTGGGAAAATTGTATTAGCCTGCTACTGAAAAGTCAGCCAGTTAAGAAAACACAAAATTAAATCCCAGATTCAACAAAATGCTCAATACCACCCTTATTTAACAAAGTTCTCTAATGGGTATTGAACATCAATAAAGTCTTTAAAAGCTCTTCTGAATGAGAGCCCGTATACATCGTGGGTGATTCAAAGTTAAGGTTCTGAGATAATTCAGTTAGAAGCCAGCCAGAAGTTATGCTGCTCTAGAAATATTTATGCTGCCATATTTCTTAGCTCATGCACTTTAGAACTGATCCTTTGGGATCTTGGTATTTTATGCCAAGATAAGCCAAAACGATAATGAACTTATGTTAAGTGTAAGGAGAACACAAATATAATACCTAACTGCAGTATGACTAAGTTTATGCTAAATTATTATCTAGCAGACATAATAGTTCATTAGTAATAAATGTTTGTATTTACTTTCTGGTTCTGTTTTCTTTTAAAGAAAAAAAAGAACCAGTGAAAACCTGGAGCTAATAAGCTAATGCAGCTTAAAATATCTGCTGGCATTGTCAAAGCAGTTAATAATTTCCTTTCTCTGCAGTTCCTCGCTGCTCTATCATTAGGTCTTGTAAGTTACTTGGAAGCATGCACACAAATAAGTGCATGCTCACATAACTCACTTTCCTTTTATTGGCACTCACAGTTTTAACTTCTGCAGTCTGTTGCCTACTCAAGCTCGTCCAGTTTGGCAGTGGCCATTATACCAAGAGATAAGAAAACATTTCCTTCCATCCCCCTGGCCAACAGGGAAGCTGTTTATATGCTAACTGTACAGGCATCAGGATTTTCAGAAGCTTTCAGGTAGAATAGGCTGTTTGTTACATTGAATGGATTTGAACAGAAATGATTCTTAAACATTAAGAAAAATTAGCTGAAAGTATCTTCTACCTGCCATCCCTTCAATTAATTTTTTATTCTTCTTACTTGAATAGTTCAAATAGCAGGTAATGGAAATAATATTAATAAATAAAAGGCATGTTACTATGTTCTGTTATACAGAGGTGGGTGTAATAACAACACTTTTTTATTATCTGTATCAGGATTGCAATCAGTTTCAAAGTGAAACACTGAAAATGTGTATTCAGGATGCCTTCTCTGGTTGACATAAACTTCCTTTCCTTAGCACTTTTCCAGAAATAGAATATAACTAAAAATGTAATTTTATTATATGTGATTTATTTTGTCTGAATCAAAAATCAGTTTAGTAAGGTCAGGGCAGCATTGCATGACAGAAACATCTGCTCCAAACTTTTAAATACCAAGGTATTCACACCACTGAGTTTCAAATTTGTTTCTAGGAGGATTAATTGACTTTAGAAAAGACTGAAATATATGTTTTCATTTATTGCAAGCATTTAAATTGATTTAGGATGTGCAAGTGATTCAGATGTGTGGCTGCTGGTCATACAGCACATGTGCTTGGTATGATACCAGAATGCAGCAGTAGAGCTAACTGCTAAAAATAGCCTGTAGGATTTCCCTAACAGGATTCAGCCAATAATCTCCCCACCCCCACGAAAAAAATAAAAAGAAGAGAGGGAGACAACTGTTTTCAATTGCAGACTGCTGTGAAATATTAATAAAAGATGGTTATTCTGTCTCTCCAGAACAAATGCCTACAGCCAGATTCTGCTCTCAGATTCCTTGTGTAAATCTGAGCAGCTCCACTGAGACTGGTGGATTTATTCTGGATTTACACCAGTATTACTGAGGTCAGAATGTGGCCCTGAAGACAGATGGGAATGGTGCCACCACTGAACCATATAATGATAGGGGACGCAGGACAAAAGAAACTGAATTTGCTTAAGTCAGTAAAAAACAAAATTTTACTGGGGGGACTCCCTAACACTCATTCATTTCCAAAATACTTTATTCGGGTCAGTTTCTTTTAATAATATTTTAAATGGAGGGGAGAACAAGAGACCTAAAAAAATCACTGGCTAACAGTGCTTTTGAAGAAGATTAATTGTAACAACAGTACCAATAAGAAAACCCAAGGGAAGAATATCTAATAAACTATTCCAACAAAAAATCTGAACTAAATAATGTCAAATATTCTTTAAACTGCCCAAATGAAAATTAAGTGGACTTTATTTTTTTTCCACCTTTAACTCATTATCTTGTGCATATACTGTGTATATATATTGCTTAACTCTCACAACAATCACTGTTCTGATTCCCTTCAGATATTTGGCTAAAAGCATTTTTCTCATGACACACAAAAATATAGGCTCAACTTGATTCCCCTTTAATAATCTGCTACAACTGTTTTCCTCCTAACTTTTTTTCTCTTTAGTCTTTAAAATAGGAAAAAAAAGTCTTTAAATAGGAAAAAAAAAAACAACAAACTAACAACAAAAAACAGCCCTACCAGAAAATAGTAACTCAAGGCAGGAACATGCTATTACATTAATTTCTAGAGTCTGAATTTGCCCTTGCTTTATGGTGGACTAGAATTTTCTCCCTTTTCACACACCCATTCCTTCCTTTCATGCTTTTACAAATGGTAGTGTTACTGTGGACAAAGGCTGGTTGCATCTTGTGCTCTCTTAAGGGATAAAATCATGGAACCATAGGATAGCTCAAGCTGACAGGGACCTCCAGATGTTTGTAGTCCAACTCTGCTCAGAACAGGTCAGCACTGTGAGCAGACCACATTCCTCGGGACTTTCATCCTAAAGGATTTTCTAAAGGCCATATAAGAATAAATAAAAACTGGGTCTGAGTTTCTTTCTAGTGATCAATGAATAAATGCTGGGGCACCATCCAGATCCAGGAGATAGTATGAAAAGATAAAATATTTCTATACCATAACATCCTATATGTTAATAATACACAGATTGTTTTGGTTTTGTTTTTTTTTGTTTTCACAGAAACTGTATTAGAACTGTTGACGTTGCAAAGTTTATATTCATTGTCTCTCCAAAGGTATCAGTCTCATAACATAAAAAAACAGCTTTATTTTTGATGCACTCAGAAACTGGAGTGATAAAGGTTACATGTGTAAGTCTGTAAGCCTAGACACATGTCAGGAAAAGAGATTTCTTTAAGCAGAAAGGAAAGGCTTAACTGTGAATGCAGAACTATGTGCTCTGCAAGACCTGTTCAATTAGCACAGGTACAGCTTGCAAGCAGGTGCAGCACCACACTGTCCTCAGCTAGAACATAAAGGATGAATTCAGAGCAGAGCTGGAGAAGCAGAAGCATAAAGTTGTAGGGCAGATGAAAATAGGAGGATTTAATTTTTTTTAGTAATGAGGTAATGAATAGAGATTATTATCTTGAATGAGCAGTGGATGGGGGGAAAAAGACTCAATAAAACAACAAACAAGGATACAAGAAAAAGATGTTCCAGATTTTGAAAAAGGAATTCAGTGAAGGACTGAGAATCTCAGTTGCAATAAATTGGCCTTCCTTCCTTCCTTCCTTCCTTCCTTCCTTCCTTCCTTCCTTCCTTCCTTCCTTCCTGCCTTCCTGCCTTCCTTCCTGCCTTCCTTCCTGCCTTCCTTCCTGCCTTCCTTCCTTCCTTCCTTCCTGCCTCCCTGCCTCCCTGCCTCCCTGCCTTCCTCTCTCTTTTCCTCTCTCTTTTCCTCTCTCTCTCTCTCTTTTCACTGGTGTTCATGTAGCTATGCTTTACTAAAAGGGTAAATTTAGACTCTGCCTAATCTGACTGCATTTCCATTGCTGAACCTATCAGGTTTCTTTGTGTCACATCTTGAGCCCTTTACGCCAGGGATGTCCCGTTCCCATCATCATCTCTGTTCAGTGTTTGTCATACATAATTTCATTTCTTTTCTTATTTTTCTATCTCAACTTCACACTTTCTTTCTTGATTAGTTCCACTAATGCCACAAGTCCACAGATCTATGTTACCCCCTTGACCTGACTCCCCTTACTAAGGATTATAAAAGGAGGTGTCAGTAAACCTTAGCAATCAGACTGAAGCAGCAGCTTTTACACCTGTAACTCCATTCAACTTTCTCAGTGGAAAAACTGCAGATTTTTGAAAGGGACTGTGAGCTCACTTTTGGTGTGCTCTGCAAATCTTAGAATGAGTTTACAATGTTTTGGGGACTCTATGAACACAACTGGAAATACAGTGGTCTGGCTTAAGAATCCTGTCTGTACAAGGCTGTTCTTTTTGGAGAAACTCATGGAAAGTGAATTAGTATGATTGTTTCTGTACAACCCAAATTTTTGTAACCCAACAATAATAATACATTTTTGCTTTCCAAGTTCACATTCTAATTGGGAAGATGGGAGCACACATTTTCTGACACAGTTACATACAGTGCCCATTAAGGAATCCATCCTACATAAATCCATGGTCATAGCCTGAAAAGATGCAAACTTTCAGGGTTCTGCCAGCTTAAGGAAATATTATTTTGGCATAAACCTTCATAAACAGAAACTGCAAGTATTTATTTCCCTCCCCTTTTATTTTTCTTTGTGCACAACATGAATCTTCACTTCTGACCATGCTCTGATATTATGCTTTCAGGCCTTTGAAAAGATGGACCCTCATGCAAAGTTAGATTACCCACAATAAGAAAAGAGGTTTCTGTCCTTTTCCTTCCTTTGACTGAAGATTTTTGAGGTTCTAATCACTTTGCTTTGGACAATCCATGTTCCCTGAGTGACTGGAATGCCCAGGACTAAACATAAAACCTGTCTCTCTAGACTCCACACAGCTGTTGAATGACACAGGAGTTGTAGCCAACGTCACTTAGTCATGCCCACAGCTTTGCTCCTTCTGTAGAGAAAGTGACCTTGCAACAGCGACTGAATTGTCAAATGAAGACATTGAGAATTACATCACAGTTTTCCTCCTTACTGGTGGTCTTTCTTCAACTTATTGGTGGTCTCTTTTCAAAACAGGCAATGAGAACACAAAGAAAAGAACCAGAGAATAGGGAAATGAAAGAAAAAGCTATAAATGACTTAAAGGCACCAAAAATGCACCTGTTTCTGTACTGCCACAGCCAGTCAATGGTAATAATTTACAACTGTGTGAATATTAACCCTGTGATTTATCAGCTGCACTGGTTGAGTTGGTGCCAGTATAGCATCATAAAACAGAGGAGCAGTAGGGCTAAAACTGAACACATTGCTGCAGGAGGTATTTGAGGCATTTAAGTCTGTTGATCCCACATGAACAAATGCATTTGCCCTGCCTATTAAAGGCAGTCTTCAGGGAATCCTACCAGTTGTGTAGACATGCTGGCTGGGCTGGTCCATGTCTAGGTGAGGTAATGTGGATTCAGCAGGGGAAGATGGGGTCCTGGAAAGTGGTCGGTGTTTATCTGATCCTGCCATGCCAACCGTAGCCATCTGAGCCTGGTAGATTTGCAACTGGTGGACATGCCGATGTGACGGGAACTCCTGTTTCCGAGAAAACAGCACAGTAGAAAGAAATGTGAGATGGGATCAAGTAAAACACTGAGGGAAACATGTCAACAAATTAAGTTCATTAGGTCAGGGCTGTAATAAACAGTGGGCACCTCCACCCCCAACTTGCACCTAAGACCCACTCAATAAATCCATTCAACAGATGTTTGCATGCTGACAGTGTGGGCTACTGACTTTGCTGGAGAGTAGGTGATGGCAGGCAACCTGTCCATTCTCCCTGGCAGGAAAGACAGCTTCACATTCAGAGGCTTACAGAAGACAAAGTTTTCTAATATATTGAATACATAATATGATGTTAGAACATGCATTTTATGACCCTATACAAATAGAATTTAAATTTTCCCACAGCACTGAAAGTGAAAAGTGATGTTCTTACTACTCAGTACCAAATGTGCTGAGCAACTGTGAGTCAAGTTTTTACAGTTAACTCAGTTCCCAGGGCTCCCGGGAAAGTAGCAAGAATTTGCATATAAGTTTTCAAAATTGTTTAGAAATTCAGGAATTGTTACTTGAGATCCCACTTAGGAACCATTTTTTTTGTCATAACTGCTGCTGGCTGTAGGCAGAGGCAAACACTTCAGGGAAATAGGCAGCTGTGAAAAGACTGTAACAGAGTAGAAAAGAAGATTTTCCGTTCTGTTTTGTCAACAGATGGTCACTTTTGCTGACATGACAAAGGCTAAAACCCTGTGAAGCCAGTAGGAACCTGGCTCACTCCACGGAGCAGGATCGCTTCTCAAACCATTCTCTTTCTATCTTTCTTTTTTCTGTGCATATAGTCCCAAAACCTCAAACAAAAGTGGATGCAAGAGAAGTATTTTCAAACCACTTAATTCAGTTGAAATTTACACTTGTGCCTTAAAACTGCAGGCTCTGTTTATCCTCACCTGGGCTCAATATACATATATGCAGGAAAATATATATATAGATATATATACATATACATGTGGCTTTTTTTTTACTTTTTTTTAATAAACCCAAGAACAATTAGCATTGTGCTTGGGACAGCAGATTGGAGGCCTGGCTTGGTCAAGGAGAGATTGCTGGCTGCTCAGAGAGGTGAAGCTGAGTTCAGGCTGTGTGGGAAGGCAGGTGGGAGTACCCCAGCCCATCACACACTGCAAAATAAATCGGCAGCTCATGAGATGTGAGAATGTCTACCCTGCATGTAATAAAAGAGGCCTTTATGCAAACACATGCTCATCAATAACAGCTGAAATGAGAATAAATGCTTTAAAAGGCAGCTTCAAAACCCACATTAATATCTAGGGTCACTACTTCAGTGAAAAGACATAAGGTCATGGGAAAGGTAAATCACCTGGGACCTTGTCATAAATGTGACTAAATGAAGAAAAAAAATATGAGTAAGCAAAAAGAGGTTATACAAGAATTGTCTTAGTTTAGAGTCATTGAGCCATTTCCCTTCCTTTAAATACCCTAATAAAGACCCCAACTTTTCTTAGCAGTTTTTTTTAACATACAGTGACAGGATAGTGTTGCATATTGCAGGAAATATCTTGAGCTATCTGAAGAGGTCTATGTATCCATCCATGAACAAAATGAAACTTAACATTCAGGAATTTATTTTCCTGAAATCTCTTTTTACTTAGTTTTGCTAATAATTCTGATTGTGATAAGTTTTCAGAGGAGTTTTATTTTTTTGTCCTCATAGGTATATATATGTTTTGCAACCTTTGCTGGGAGTGTGTGTGTTGGGAGATGAGTGAAGAATGCATGGACACTATTGTGTTGAATATTCTCCCTATGGAGAACAGAAATAGATACATTCCTTTGTGAGAATTTAGCATTCACTTTCCTCAATGCTGGCTTCATGTAAAGTAGTCACAGGAGGCATTTTGCTATCTGTGGTGTGATTACTCCCTGCATCCTAGGATCAAGTGGTGGCAGCAGCACTGTCTGATGCTCATGTATTCACAATTTCCTGCCTCCCCTCCTAAACTCCCAGCTGAGCAGTTTGGAAGAAGCCAAACTGCTGCCTGCAGGAGCCATTCATGGCACAGAATGTTGCTACCAGACAGGAAATCAGTGGAATACTGTTATTTCTGCTGCTCTCCTCAACTTATATGATGCCTTCATTGCATAAATTAAATAGCTGCTGTGTGTGTATTTCTTTGAGCAAGGGAATTTATGATACATCTTTCAATGTTCATACTAAGCACTGATAATTTATTGAGTTTATTTTCTGATCATCATTAGAGTACAGAAGACAAAAGGATTTGTTCCCTATTGGAAGGCTCTTCAAGCTAGTAAAGGTGCACCAGTGGATTGTGGTAGTCTTCACTGAACATTATTACTTAAACATATTTCTTAAAGAATCTTGGAAATTCAGCTGAAGGCAGACTAATGCTGTCTCTGGACTTTTCTCAGTGCTGGTTGACTCTGAGCTCTGACACTTTAGAGCTGCATTGTTTGCCTTGCTGTTGCTTCCAGACCTGAACTTCAGTTTTGCAGTATCTGTGCAATTTATTTTTTTTTTTTGTGGAGCTGTACATTTGCCATTCAGTCAATATCTAAACTATAATCTTTCCAGATCTCTGATCTAAAAAAGTCATTTAAGTGGGGTTTTTAGGGGTTTTTTGTTTGTTTGGTTTGGTTTGATGCTTTTGTTTCTTCTTTGCTAGGTTGTTTGGGGATTTTTTTGTGAGTTTGGGTGTTTTTTACAGTGTCTTGAAGAAGAAAAAAGTCTGGAACATCAGAAAACATAGATAACTCTGGAAGATGTTCCTATCTTTGCTTCTAAAATTATTTAGTGTTTGTGTTTATGTAGTCACATAGAAACAATATTTTTCATGCATATTAACAAATTGAGATAATTTTTTTAAATATTAATCAACCTGTGTGAACAACATCTGAACCAAACATCTATTTCAGCAATTTGTTGGCGATAAAGAATACAGCCTATTCTCTCTCCTCCATTTTCAGGTTAAAAATGTATAAACATTTTCCTGTTTATATCATTCTCCCCTCCTCAAATGAAACCAGACACGTACTGTGTTTGACACATGTTTATCAACATAATCTGTTTGGGGAAGGAGAAGAAATTTGTGGAAGGTTACATGGAAATTGACTGACACCTGCTTTAATTTCAGAGGACACAGAAAATGTTTGCCTGTGAAAATCTTTTAAAATTTATTAAAAGTAGAGTAGTTTGTCTCACAAGGCTTACACCGAGGCGTACATCCTCTCGTGGCATCCAGATCCTTTAATTGTAATATTTTAAATTGTAGACATCAGCAAAGTTTAGACTTGTTTAGATATTAGTCAAAGTTTTAGGCTAGTTTCCTGATTAGGTTATATTTTACAGACAACAGGCACACATTAAATACATACATTTTTTCCCAGCCACCTACATATTTATGCTGTGAGCATTTCTGATACTCTGAGTCACAGACAAGTGGATTAATGCAATGAGTAATGTGGATAATCAACACACTTATCTGGCTCCCCAAATGTCCACCTGGCCTCTGGAAGGGATTAAAGGAACACAATGAATTTGTCTTCAGGTTTTATGTGTTACAGCCCTGCAAACACATGTCCATCTCTCCAGCAATATGACAAAAGCAGTATTTGCACATCTGCAGGGCCAGTGATTTGTGTGAATATATTTGGAGCATTTCTTAGGTAACCTGAGCCCTGTCTGCCCAGCATGGAGCCTGCTAGTTCCAGGTGCCTGAGATTAGTTTATTAGTAGAGGCAAGCAATTAGGGCTTCTGCTGGAGCTAGCAGAGGGCCATCCATCGCCTTCCACAGAAACAAGCTCAGGCCCTCAGTAATTATTTTGAGGAATTTTAAAATCAGTATCTAAAGAGAAGATGAGCCTTTTAGGAGCATGGAAGGTAAATATTTGTTGTCCTCCTAGTATTACTGTAAGGTTTGTTTAGCAGGGCTTTGAATTAATTTGGGTTGGTGTGGATATTCCTTTCATGTAGATCTGTGATTTGTACATTTTGGAGCTTAACATTTTGTAAATTCTAAGGATTTTAACGAGAGCTATTTATTTATTTCTACTGGCTCTGAGAACTGATTAATCACGAGTAATCTGTTGGATTATTAGATGGTCTATGTTGGAGGATAAAGCATAGGTGAGTTGTCTATAACAGTCCTTTGAACTGTTATGTTTCGTGCAGAGAAAAAGATATGTGGGATTCATTCATAAAAGCTTGTTTTGCCTCTTAATAGTCTGGTTCTTAATTTAATGTTAATATTTAGTTTAGTCACAGTTAAATAAATCCAAATATTTGTATGTCTGTAGCATAATCCCTCATGTTTATGGGTGTACTAACACTTCTGTTCAGGGTTATGCTTTGGCTTTTTTTCATTCTGCTAGAGAACTTTTTTTTTTCCTCTTAGGGATAGCAAATTTTGCATTTCTTACTAATAAGATTACTACTCTCATATATTTTTGGCCAGGTTTATATCCCTCTGTTGTTGTGCCTTTGATACATTCTGCTGAACTATGAAGTGTGTGCTCATGTCTATTAATTGGTAAAAGTTTTTCATGATTTTCCCATCCTGCCTTCCTCTCCCAAAAGTCCTTAAGCACTACTATCCTTACAAAGCTTTCCTCTCAAAGCATTTTTGGTGGTCTGCTTGCTAATTTCCACATTATTTTCAGAAAATTACCCAAAGGATGGGTAATTTCCTGAAGGGAAATGCTACATGTAAATGCTTCAGAAAGTTTTTTCCTAGGAAAGGATGAAAACAAGATCTGCTGCCTTTCAGACCTTCCTCTCCCTCCTTCTTTTGAAGGATATTTCTGGTGCCTGCTCTGCTGCCTCGTTTCACCCCATGGCTCCTGCTGGAGGCCTCACTCCTTAGCCCTGTCCAGACCCCTGTAGCAAGCTGAGAACAGAGCAACTTCAGATCCTGCCACTTGTCTTCTCTCCCACCCTCCCAGGCTTTCTACCTTCCCAGTGCAGCTGGAGCTGAATGCATCCAAGGGGTGTCCAGGC